CTTTTTTTTTTTTCCCCTCCTTCCCTTTGGCTTGCTCACTTTTAACTCTTTGCTTTCACTCCCAGCACTGCTCTTGTCTTACAGTCCCCACAGTTTGAGGAATCTCCAGGTCTACACAAAGCACTCAGTCAAGTGCACCAGGCACAGGCTGTGTCTTGTGTCTGAACTTAGTTTATTTTGGAAGCTGAGTGGATCTAAGCCAATGAGATATGCAGCATCTAGGAAAAAAAGCCAGGGCGCTCAGGCTAAGAAGCCTGGCTCTTCACCATGGGTCAGACCACCGGGCGCAAGCTGGAGCTTCTCCACTGCCTCTCAGTGGGCAGCGTAGCGTGGCTGTTAGGGGAGAAATTGTCTGTTAGAAGAATGTGATGGAGATGCTGAGAGGTTTGGAGGAACAACACTGCAAGAAAAAGCTCTTTCAGCTCTGAGTTAAGGGGGATATAATGATCTGCACAGACTGTGTCGCTGGTGAGGAGGAAGAAGGCCAAGGAAGAGTGTGACAGAGGTCTGTAAGATGGTGAATGGCTTTGAGACAGTGTATTTTCCTTTATTAGGTGGGATAATGAGTGAAACCAGTTTGCAACAAGTCCAAAACCACATGGAGCCTTCCATCTCAGTCTCCTGTGGAGCTGTGAGACTGTTGCAGGATGCTCTGGGTTACTAAAGGTTCGCATTGCTCCGGAAGCTTATATGACATACAGATAGGGGTCCACCAAGGGCTGTTAAGTACAGAGATGTCACTTCTGGCTCACAAAGTTATCAACCTTTAGGTTGCTGAAGGCTTTGAGACTCTTCATAGGGATATCAGCAAAGGCTTGTCCTATCCCGGATCTCCCTTCCAAAAGGTCTCAGTGTTGGGAGCGCTGGGAGCACCCTACAGAGATCTTCCACCTGAGCTAGGGGAGAGGGGTTGGAGGCCTCTGGATGCACATGACACAGTCAGGATTTGTCTTCCCCTAAGGCTTGCTGACAGCAGATGAGATCTCAGCGCCACTCCCCGAGTGGGCTTTTAGGATCACAGTAATTCCTTCTTGGCCCTGCCTCTGTTGATCTCCACCTCCCTGCAGTCCTGGGCTTTTTACCCAGCCAACCCTCCTTACTTAACTCTGCTTCATTTAAAATAGAAAATTAATAATTAACTGGCCTCTCCTTTGAGCGGCACGTAAAGAAAATCCCTAACAGCCGCCGTACCGGTTGTCTGTTGCCCTGGAGTCTGTTTGTTTTTCCAACGAGCTGCTCTGCTGCTGCCGGTGTTTTGGGGTGGCCTCCTGACCTCCCTAGGGCTTTCCTCCACCAGCCAGAGCCACCCCTCTTTGCAAACAGCCCGTCCTGCTGCAATGCATCTCTTCGCCATGGTATTTGTGAAATACTATGGGTATTTCAGAAGCTGCCCACCTCTTTGCATCTGCAAGGGCTTCCCTCTGAGCCCAGGTGTACCAGCAGCACCCAGCAGCATCTCACCACCTTCTCTGACCTCCATCTTCTTGTACGCATCTTGCAGCACGCACCAACCTGCTCCAGCTATTGGAGGTGAAACAGGGAGTGACTTTACCCTAGTCTGGTAAGACACTGGCACAGGTTGCCCAGAGAAGCTGTGGCTGTCCCATCCCTGGCGCTGTTCAAGGCCAGATTGGACAGGGCTTGGAGCAACCTGGTCTAGTGGAAAGTGTCCCTGCCCATGGCAGTGGGGTTGGAGCTAGATGAGCTTTACAGTCCCTTGCAACCTAAACCATTCTGTGATTCTGTGATAGGAAAGGAGGTAGGAGTTGATTGGTTTTTACTTGATTAATGTGTTTCCCTTTTTAATGAAAGATACTTTGGTTGGCCGGAGAGGGGAGTTTGGCCTTTGCCTTTTCCAGTGGAGAAAAGTCCTGAGTTATTTCGCTTCTGACTACAGACCAGGAACATCACCACCCTCTTCTTTGGGGCTCCAAGGACAACTCCAACAATGTCCAGAGGCACCTCTTTTAGGTACATTTAATCTAAACGCAAATAATTCTGGCAGAACTGGATGAAAGGAATCCTCTTTCATAGAGATTGACCCTTGTGATTGATGGACGAGCTTGCAAATGCTCTAACCTCCCTCTCTTATTTTTAGGACACTCATAAAGCTGTTGTTAGTGTTCATCTCCATCCCAGTGCAAATCAACCAATGGGTTAATACTTACTGAGGGACAGGGAGATGCCCACACGCTCCTTCTGGGATACCACGGAAAACCAGGCTCAATCCAGGAAAATCTTCAGTCTTATCAAATCTTCGTGCATCACGCTCCTGAAAATTTAGTGTTTCCCCTTATACTACTAAAATTACCTGCAGCAGTGCAGGTGTGAGGGGTTTGGTCAGACTTGACCCAATGCTGGGGACCTTTATGCATCTCTTGGCCCCCATTGTTTTATTTTCTCTTTATTAAAACGGTGTTTCGCACAGAATTCCACCAGCAGCACCAGACCTCATCTCCTTTAGTGGCGTTTTAAGCAATTCCAGCCCCCACGCACTCCTCACAGGACAGTGAACTGTCACCTTTCTCCTTCCTGGCAGCACTGGGATACAGTTTGGGACCTTTGTCCCTGTGTGGAGGAGCAGGGTGGGTGCTGTGGGTGACAGCAAAGCTGTGAGGAGAGAAACCTGCTGGGGAAGACAATATTTTTCCCTTTAATCTCAGTTTTTGATGTTTCTCTATAGGGCTGCAGATGGTGTGGTGTGGTACATGCCTGCCCTCCTGTATGCCTATGGAGACGCTGCTCCAGCTCAGGGGATGATACCAACAGCCTCTGTGCATAGGACAACAGGACTGTATGGGAAAGCAGGTGAATGTACAGGAAGGTGGATGAGTGTACAGGAAGGCAGGTGGCCATACAGGAAGGCAGATGACTGTACAGGGAGGCAGATGAGTGTGTTGGAAAGGAGGTGAGCCTACAGGAAAACATGTGAACATATACAAAGGCAGGTGAACAAATAGGAAGGTGGGGTGTATGATGGATGACTGTATAGGAAGACAAATGAGTGTATAGGAGACAGATTAGCATATAGGAAGGCTGTTGAGCATATGGAAGGCAGGTAGATGTGTGGAAGGGTGGTTGAGTATATAGAGAGGCAGGTGAGTGTATAGGAAAGCATATGACCATTTAGGAAGACAGATGAACATATACGAAGGCAGGTGAGTGCGTAGGAAGGTAGATGAGTGCACAAGAAGGCAGATGAGCATACAGATCCCAGCAGCCCTGACCACGCTGCGGGATCAGTTATCTGTAGCCCCTGAGTGGCAGCCCCTCCCTCCACCAATGTCAGCCGGTGCTGCAGGGGGAAGGTGGGTCTGTAGGGCAAGAGCAAGACCCGGGTGAGCAGAAACCTATAACTCTGCATGGCCCCGAGCCACCCAAACCTCGCCGCACCAAACGCAGTCACATCAGCGCAGTTGTGCTGGACCCAGCGTGCCGGGGTTGTGCAAGTTGACTCACCCGTCCGCTTGCAGCAGCACACTGCCATCCAGAAACAAGTGAAAATAGAAACATCCCCGGCTCCTGGGCCAGGAATAACCTTGCAGGGTATTCATTTTTTTGGTGGAGGTTTTTTTTTCCCTTTAAAGTGAAATCCTTTTTTTTTTTCATTCTCCCTGACTCAGCCTCGGGAAAGCCACCACATTGTGGCAAAGTCTCCTCCCAGCTTCTCCACTGTGGCCTGTGGCCACCAGTGTTGGTGCTGGTGGGGGCAGATGCAGGAGGGGAAAAGCCCAGTCTGGGGAGATGATGCCACATCCTGGTGGGACATGGTTTGTGTTTTTGCCAGGATGCTGAGCTCAGGAGCAAAAAAGGGAGAAGGAGTGCTTGAGGTTGTAGCCCAGGCTGCTTTGGAGGTTTATATAGTGAGAGAAGGAGGGAGGAGAGGATGGATGACTGCTGGGATGGAGAGCTGGGAGATGGGAGCAGCCAGTCCCTTGTGCCTCAGTGGTGGGACGGATGTGACAGGTCTTGGGTATGCCCGCTTTAGGATGAGCATCCACTGGTGGCTGCCATCAAATGGCAAATGAGAGGTGGTGGGAAGCAGGGAAGGGGGAGATAAGGCCATGCTGGTCCCCATGAAACTGCCTGGGCCTGGTGGGTGGTTGCATCCATAGCGGAGGTACAGGGATGTCCTGAGAGCAGGCACAACAGCATTATCTCAGTCATGCCACATAACTGCTGCTCCTATTGTATGCTGCCCTCCAGGCCTCCCCAGGGCCCTGCCAGCCTTTTGAGGGGGGAGATAAGCCAAGCCCCACCGTTCTATCAGTCCAGCCCACACCTAGGATCCAGCAAAACGCTGCTGCTGTCTGCACCCCTGCCCAAGCCTTCATGGCAGGATGCTTGTGCCTCCAGCAGAACCCATCCAAACTGCTCCAGGGATGAAGGAGAGCACAGCATGCCCATTAAAAATTATTAGAATAGCAATTAAGGACTATTTACACAGCTCTCTATCCATGTAAGCAGCACATTCCTACAGGTGATTTTTCACAGGGAGTCCAACCTAGGTGGAATCACAGAATCATTTGGATTGGAAAAGACCGTTAAGATCATCAAACCCAACCGTTAACCCAGCACTGCCAAGGCCAGCACTAAACCATGTCTCTGAGCACCACATCTACCCGTCTGTTAAATCCCTTCAGGGACTGTGACTCCTCCACTGCACCGGGCAGCCTGTTGCAGTGCTTGACAACCTTTTAGGGGAAGAATTTATTCCTCATATATAATGTAAACCCTCCCCTGGAGCAACTTAAGGCTGTTTCCTCTTGTTCTATTGCCTGCTACTCGGGAGAAGAGACAGACACCCACCTCACTACAACCTCCTGTCAGGCAGTTGTAGGGAGCGATAGGGTACCCCTGAGCCTCCTTTTCTCCAGGCTGAACACCCCCAGTTCTCTCAGCTGTCCCTCGCAGGACTTGTGCTCCAGACCCTTCACCAGCTCCATTGCCCTTCTCTGGACCCCCACTCCATCACCTCAATGTCTCTCTTGTAGTGAGGGGCCCAGAAATCAGCACAGGATTTGAGGTGCAGCCTCACCTGTGCTGAGTAAAGGGGAATAATCACTGCCTCCATCCTGCTGGCCACACTATTGCTGACACAAGGCAGGGTGCCATTGCTGGCACACTGCTGGCTCAGACTTGATCAACCCCCCCAAACACCGTATTCATTTTTGGATTCTTTTTGGACCTTCTCCAAAAATAATCACACATTTTTCTTCTGTGGTTTTTCTTCAGTCAACCACATGTGGGGGTCACCCACAACCCGCTCCCCACAAGTCAATGGGCAATGGGGATGCCCTGGAGAGGCACACAGGGACACCCATGCTGGATGGCAAGAGATAACCTGGGCCATCTATGCTTAATGTCAGATCTGGGGAGGGAGCAGGCAGCTCTCCATGGCTGCTGTCTGCAGACAGGAAAACCCTCCATCAAGCTTGTATGAACAGGCTGGGCTTGAGGCAGATCCAAACCATCTCTGGGGTATCCTATCCCACATCAAAGCGCTTTTCCGGCAGTGATGGAGCTTCTTCTTCTTCTTCGTGGGGCTCAGGGGGCCTGGCAGGCTGCCGGCGCTGTTTGCACACCCGGGCATACACAGGGACGGGGCTCCCCTCGCTGCCTGGCTCCTCCTGAGTGATGATCTCCTGCATGGAGATGCTCGGCTCATCCTTGGTGGACAGAGATGGGGAGTCCCCTGGGGTGCTGCCAGCATTCCCAGGCTTTTTCTGTATCCCAGATTTGTACCGGATGCTTTCATAGATTCGTCCATCGGGATCTGGCATAGGATCCACCATGGTTGTGCTGGTATCCCCCGGCAGAACCGGCAGCTCCCGGTGCCGCAGAAACTCTGGAGTCCTCAAGGCTGGTTCGAAGAGTGTGTGGGAATTGGGTATGCAGCCCAGCACATGCAGCCTGGGATCTCCTCCTGTGGGTTTATCCTGCAACTCACCAGGAGAGGGGGTGCCTGCAGGGAGGGAGAATTGGGGGTTATGGAATCATAGAAGCATAGAGCAGTTTGAGTTGGAAGGGAGCTTAAAGCTCATCCAGTTCCAACCCCCCTGCTACAGGCAGTGGCACCTCCCACTAGACTGGAGTGGGTACCCCCAGAGCCATCACACTGGGGAGCATCCCTGGCTGATGCAAGGGTAAAGTAGCACCCAGTAATTAAATGTGCCTTGCTCCCACTTCCTTCCCCACTCTCCACTCTTAGTAAGCAAGATAATAAGCAAAGAAAAACCAGTGCAAGCATCCTGGGTCGCTGGCGGGGCCATGCTCCCTGCCATGGAGCCAGTGTGGTGCTGGGACCTGCCACCCTCCTTCCTGCACAGCGGCTCATGCCTTTGGTCAAATATTTATCCAAGAAGGAGGCTGTGCTCTGTGCAGGGTTTGTCAACATGGGGAGCCGGTGAGGCAGGGCGCTCAGCCGGTTTGCTCGCCCCAGAGGAGAAGGAGACTGGAAAAGCTGTGTAACCTTGGTGTTTCTCCTCCTGCAGTAAATATGCAGAGATATGGCGGTCCCGTGTGATTTGGGGTGCCCCAGCTGTGGTTGGGGTGTGTGTGCGCAGCACAGAGGTGGGTTCAGATCTGCGACAGAGCCCCTCAGGGCCACTGAAGTCTCCCCTACCCCACAACTTTGTCCTGGCAGAAAGCAGCCCCTGCCACCTGAGCACCCCAACATGAGCACTCCAGCATGAGCACCCCAGTGTGACCCCCTTTGCAAGAGCACTGTGGTGAACCCCAGCATCCCACCTGTGCACCCCAACGTGCCAAGGCTTCATTGTCGGGGGTCCCCTCCCTGCCCCACTGCAGAAAAGCAGGAGAGGGCTAGGGATACCTTGCTGGGAGTGGGAATTGCAGCCAGGGGAGCCCCATGAATAGGGTTTGAGGGGGTGAGCTGGTGGGGCCACCCCATGAAATACTGTGGAACCCCCACTGTAGTGCAAAGAGGAGCAGGAATTTCGTTTGAGCATCTTGAAGCTCAGCCACGGTGTCATAAAAAAGGGAAATTATTAGTACATGAGCTGTAATCATCCTTGTTACCCAGCACGCTAAGTAAAGGGTTCCTGGAGCAAACGAGAAGAGAAACTCATCTTGTCTCTGTGGAAAAGCAAATGGGCTGAACACTTAATAAGGTGGGAAGGTTTGGAGCATTAAACCATCTTTTTAAAAGCTTTTCAAAGCAATTCCCTTCTTATCAGCACAAAGGAGGCCACAGAGAAGGCCAAGGGAGTGTTCTGAAACACCTGACACGATCCTGCCAGAGGAACTGGGACTTGTGGCAGGTTTTACTGGGATACATTGCTGTAACTGGGAAGTTTAGGAGCTTCTTTTGGACCACGCAGCCTCCTGCGAGCCCCTTCTCCATGGCCATAGGGCATCCTCATCCCTTCTGCATGTCAGGGAACTGAAATAGCTGTTTGCTGCTAATGAGCTTCACTGATTTCCCCAATTTTGGCTGCAGTGACCCTGGCTGGGGGGTGCAGGGGTGCAGCCCCACACATCTGCCCAAGGGCTGGCTCAAAGTCCTGCCGAGCCCCTGCGTTCCTCCAAGTTCATCAGCTGGGCAAATCATTAACAGGGCTGGATCAGTTGAGTGAGGTTGAGTAAGAGTTGAGCCCAGGGACCTTCGACCACTGCCCAGCATCTCAGCATGGGGATCCCCATCCTGCTGCATCCCACACCTACAGCAGGACCTGGGAAGGTGCTCCCCAGGAGCACCCACGTCCCTGGGTGCTTGAGGGCCCAGGGAACACCCACAGCAGTGGCACCAGGGATGGCAGAGGAGCACAGTCACCATCCCCGTCACAGGACCTACCTCCTGGCAGCGCTGCTCCCCTGTCGCTGGAGCTCAGCCTTGCCAGCTTCACCTGCAGCAGGAACAAATGGTTGCTCACATATTAGCCTCCCTGGTCAGTTGTACATCTCCCCACAGCACTTGTGTGTCCCCCCTGGCTCTTGTGCATTCACTCAGCCCTCATCCATCCTCCCCCACAGTTGTGTATCCCCCTCCAGGCACTCATTTAACCCCCAGAGTCCTTTTGGAGCCCTCCTCAGGCACTTGTGCATTCTGCTGGTACTTGTGCATGCTCCCAGGGACTCACGCATCCTCCTCCCAGCACTCGTGCATCCCCTCCTGGTGCCTGTGCATTCACCCAGCACGTGTGCATCTGTCCCCCCCAGCACTTTTGCATCCTCTCCTGGCACTTGGAGAGGATGCCAAGCACCCACTCATGCACTTGTGTGGCAGTTACAAATGATTTTCCCCGTGACAGGCCAGCATTTGGTCAGTCTGCCCTTCAATTGACAAGACATGATTTTGTAAGGATCTTCTAATCAGGAATTTCTGTCCTTGAAGTAGATCATCCCAGAGAATGAAAAGAAACCTGATAAAGCCAATGAGGAATTTTGTTCTGAACTTTGCATTAACCTGTAGTCATTAACACGGCAAAAGCTCCCTACCAGCCCAAGCCCCATCCCCAGAGCATGTGCGTGGTGAAAGAAGTACGTGCTGTGTCTTTAAAAAGAGGCGAGAGAATGGAAGAGCCAATGATAGCAGACACAGGGTGTGACATACCCGGAAAACACGGATTTTTGCTGTTTGAAATGTACAAAAGTGGACGGGGTGCAGAGCGAGGGGTGAGAGCTTTGTGGTTTAGCAGCACGCACCCGACGTGGTGCGATTTGGAATTAAAACAGTACCTCAGCTTTGTGTGTAGGTGTTTGGCACAGCAGGTACTGGATGCTTTATTGAGGGACAACATTTCTGGTGACCCCAGTGGGACTGCACTGACTGCCTTGCATGGATCATCTTGCTGCATGAGTGGGGAGCAGTGATCTGAGACACCTCAGGTCCCCCCTCCTGCAGCTGGGCAGTAAGCGACACAGCAGCGCGATGCCTCCATGAGATACTGAACAAGGAATACAAGGGACTTGGGTGAGTGGAAAACCTGTTTCCGCTTCTGGTTCTGTTTATGGTTATTCTGCATAAACTGCTCCATAAAAAGATTGCAGCAAGTTTAATAAGCTTCTAAAGTAGAATCGTAAAATCAACGAGTTTGGAAAAGACCTGTAAGATCACCAAGTCCAGCCATTACCCCAGGACTGCCAAGTCCACCACTAAACCATGTCCCTGAGGACATCTACATGATTTCTGATCACTTCCAGGGACGGTGACTCCACCGCTTCCCTGGGCAGCCTGCTCCAAAGCCTGAGCACCCTCTCAGTGAAGACATTTTTCCTAGTATCCAGTCTACACCTCTCCTGCGCTGCCCTGGTGCAGCTTGAGGCCGTTACCTCTTGTCCTGTCACTTGTCACTTGGGAAGGGGGTGTTGGGGCGAGAGCCCTATCCCCTTTCCCCACCGCCCCCGTTCCGCGACGGCCCCCCCGCCCCGCGCCGCGGTGAGAGGGAAGGGAAGAGCGTGGGGGAGCGCGTCCCGCAGCGAGGGAGCTGCTCTGCTGCGTACGAAACCCTGCCCCGACATCAAGTCGTCCACGAACGATTTAGCGCCGGGTGCCCCAGTGCCACGCGGTACGCGATGGGGGAGAGGCGGAGCCGCATTCGTCCGCCCCTCCGGTCGCTCGGCACCGGGCCCGCTCCGCAGGAGGCGGGCAGCTATTGCGGGCGCGGCGGTGCCCCCGCAGTGTCGCCGCGTCTGGGCGGGACTCGGAGGCTTTCATCCATAAGCCTGCAGATGGTAGCCTCGCACCAGGGCTCCTCGGTCAAGCGCACTCACCGGGGTCTGAACCTGCGGTTCCTCTTGTGCTGAGCAGGATTACTGTTGCAACAACACGTCGTCATTAAGGGTAAAACTAACCGGTCTCACGACAGTCTAAACCCAGCTCATACTCCCTATTAGAAGGTGAGCAACCTAATGCTTCACAACAGGAGGAAATCATCGAAGGATCGAAAAGCAACGCTGCTCTGAAAGCTTGACTGCCACAAGCCACTTATGCCTGTGGTAACTTTCCTGATACCTCCTACTTAAAACCCAAAGAGCAAAAGCCAAGAGGATCACGAGTTGGTATTTGTACGAAACCCAAGAGCAAACGAGCTTTTGCTCTTCTGCTCCTCTGGAGGTTTCTGTTCTCCCTGAGCTCACCTTAAGACACCTGCATTGTGCTTCTACATGTGTACTGCCCATTCAAACTCCCCACCTGCCACTGCCACTGGAGCAGGGCCAGAAGCAAGAGCCTCCCTCGGGGCTCTCCCCCCTGCCCCACCAGGTAAGGTACAAACAAACAGAGAGGTGGTATTTCACCAATGGCTGGGATGCTGGCGGGCAGGATGCTCCACACTGCTGAGCACACACTCAGCCTCCCATTTACTCTACACCTCTCATGTCTCTTTGCAGCACCGAACTAGAGTCAAGCTCAACAAAGCCTTCATTCCCCGCTGATTCTGCCAAGTCTGTTCCCTTGGCTGTAGTTTCACTGGATAGGGACAGTGGGAATCTTGTTCATCCCTTTGTGCATATCAGTGATTAGATGATGAGGCATTTGGCTACCTTGCGTCATTGTTACTCCCACTGTTCACCTGCGCTTCATTGAATTTCTTCATTCTGACATTCAGACCACTGGGCAGAAATCACAACGTGTCAGCACCCACCGTGGGCCTTTGCAGTGCTTTGTTTTGATTAAACATTAAGTGAACCCATTCCAGGGCACCCAACCCTTCACAAGGAAAAGAGAACTCTCCCCAGGGCTCTCACTGGCTTCTCCAGATCGGTCGCATCACTGCACTGGGCACCTCTCTGGATTAGGGGATCTGAACCTGACTCCCTTTTGATCAGCTGAGGGCAATGGAGGCCATCGCCTGCCCTTTTGGAGCAGTGCTCGCCTATCACTTAGAGCCAACTGACCCATGTTCAACTGCTGTTCACAGGGAACCCTGCTCCACTTCAGCCTTCAGAGCTCTCATTTGAATATTTGCTACTACCAAAACCTGCACCTTCAGCACACACACACACACCCCTCCACCCCGTGCCTGCATCCCAGGCTTCAAGGTGCAATGCAGTGGCCCTCCTGCTTGTCATAGCATAGTCCCTCCCAACCCTCATGCTGGTAGTGACAACCGGGTATGGGCCTGACACTCCAGCACCATCCATTTTCAAGGCTAGTTGAAGAGATAGTATGGTGTGGCTTGCTCAACCGAAATACCCCCTTGTACCCCTTTAGTGTGAATCCTGAAATACTGGAGTAAATTTAGAGGGGATCCCCTAACAAAAAAACCCAACACATTAAGAGATGCTGTAAACAGTGGTGGTCAATATGCGAACTGGGCAGTAGGGAGAAGAGAAGGCTTCATGGAGACCTTAGAGAAGCTTCCAGTGCTTAGAGAGACTGACAAGAAAGCTGGAGAGGGGCTTTTGGCCAAGGCCTGTAGGGACAGGACAAGGGGAAATGGCTTTAAACTGACAGAGGGGAGATTGAGATGAGATCCTAAGCAGAAGTTGTTCCCTATGAAGGTGCTGAGGCCCTGGCACAGGTTGCCCAGAGAAGCTGTGGCTGCCCCATCCCTGGCAGTGTTCAAGGCCAGGTTGGACGGGGCTTGGAGCAACCTGGTCTAGTGGAAGGTGTCCCTGCCCATGGCAGGGGGTTGGAACTGGATGAGCTTTAAGGTTCCTTCCAACCCAAACCATTCTGTGATTCTGTGATTCTATGTTCCCTGTGCTGACACTGTAGCGATGTCAAAGCATGTGTGACGCACGGGCTAGAGGACATATGGGGGCAGGCCACTGTCCCCTAAGCCCCCATCCCACCACCTTTCCCTCCAGCGGGAGTATCAGCCACTGACAGCCACCCGAAGACACAGTGGGGACCCTCGGGGACTCACCCCTTGGACAGACTCAGGGTTTTCTTTTGTTTTCTGGGTGGAAGATGGCCGGTTTGTCCTGCAGAAGAAGGAGAGGTCAGCGGTGCTGCAGCCCATCCCCAGGGATGCCTGGGTCAAGGTGGGCTCAGAGGTCACACAGCTCCCCCGTCCCTTCGTCTTGCTGCTGTTTTCTGTTTATTCACCCCTATGTCCCCTGCCCAGTGCTCATCCCCTCTCCACTTGGCTGCAGAGGTTGGTTGCACTCAGAGCATCTGCCAGCACAGAGCTCCCTGCTTGCCATCCCGCATGGGCATGGACAGTGACAGCCCCTCTCCACCCATGACATTTCCCTGGAGCCCACAATATCCTTGGCAAACCCTCAGGAAGAAGCCAGATTCCCTCTTTTTTTGCCCCTTGTCCCAACCAAACATACCTGTGGAAGAAGGAGCAGAGGAGGAGCAGGAGCAGCAGCAAGAAGCCAGTGGTGGCCAAACCCCAGGCCACTGTGGCTGCTGACCCCACTGCCAGCACTGGAGCCATCGAGCCCCCAGCAGGGAGGCAGACCTGAGGGAGAAAGAAGCCCAAGTCAGGCCACTGGAAGGGGGTTGGGGTAATAACAGGGTGCACAGGGCTGGGTAGGGAGTGCTGGAGGGGGCTCCCATTCTCCCTTTAATATCAGGATCAAGTTTTCCAGGGATACCTCCCCATCCCTTTATACCCTTAGCCCAGCACCATCCCACCCTGCTCTCCCTTCCCAGGAGGCAGAGGATTTTAGTGTGATTGCAGGTGCAGCAAAGCTCCATGTGTTGAACAAACACATAGTGATGGCACCTATGGCCCCTCTTGCTGGCAGGGTGAGGGAAGTCATGCCCCATCCTGCCTTCTCGGAGCAGTGGCTGCTCTCATCTCTGCTGCGCGGGGCAGCAAGCGGGAAAACCAGCTGGGGCATGGGGAGTGATGCTGCTGCACCGGGCGTACCCACTGCATCTCCCCCGGTGCCCCTGAACCCACCACCACCCTTGGGAAAACACACTGCCAGCATTCTGCCCCAAAATCCAGCTTCTTCTTCCTCCCAAGCCCCCCTGTTTAAAATTTCGGGTGAACTGAGCTCCCCTGAGCCCTCCTTCGAGATGAGAGCCCGGCAAACCGAAACGCAGAACAGGCTGAGCCCGCTCTGCCGGCTGTGACTCAGCCTTCCCGGCATGACATCCCAGCCCTTGGAGCCATGCCGGGGGTCGGGAACCCCACAGTCCGGCAGCTCCACAGCCGGGATCCCCCTGGCTGGGTGTGAAGGCAGGCTGCAGCCTGGCGGTGCTTTTGCCTCTTGGACAAAATTCATTAGGGATTTAATCCTAATGGATGCTCCAGGCATCTTCCTTTAGCTGATTTGCCAGCCCTAGGACACACACTGGGTCTGGGACACCCATGATGTCCTGCACCACTGAGCCCTCCAACCCACCACACCCTGTGCCAACCTGCTCTGCCTCAGTTTCCCCAACTGTGCCCTGAGACGAGCCAGACCGGCCTCAGCTCAAGGTGCTTTCCTGCACCCCACCTTGCTTAGCACGTCAGCGCAGGGTGGGGATGGGTTAGGGGCTGGGGTCACCCCATGGCTCAGGACCTCCCCGTTCCCCCCCCACCCCGGGGAAGCCACTCACCCCACGGCAGTGCCGGGCGCAGGCGGCTCCTCTCGCTGCTCAACTTTGGATGGGAGCGGTGGCTGGGTGGCACCCGCCGCACCCCGGCTTCCTGCTCCCGCAGGACACCCGTCAGCACCCGGGCCCGACCGAGCATGATTCCATGTCAGGGGAAGGCTGCACCACTAGGAGGGGTCCTGCGCTCCCAGCATCCCTGAAACTTGCACCCCCAGGAAGGATCCCGGTTCCCAGGAGGTGTCCTGCACCCCCACACCCAGCAGCTCAGAGACCTGCAACCCAGAAGGGGTTCTGGTACCCCAGGTGGGGTTCTTGTACCCCCAGAGACAGTACTTGTGAGACTGGGAATGTGTGGAGGAGTCCTGCACCCACAGAGCCGGCACTCCGGAAACCCACAGCCCTCAGGCGGGTCCTGTACTCCCGGGAGGGGTCTTATATCCCCAGACCCCACAGCCTTGAAACCCACAGCTCCAGGAGGGGTCCCTGCACCCCCAGAGCCAGCCTTCCCACTGAGAAGAGCCCCCAGAGCCAGTCCCTTTCTGCTTCTCCCAAGCAGTCCCTGGCCACCCACCTCTTGTTCAACTCCTGTCCCTTTGCCCAGAATTTTGGACACTCTGGTTCATCCCCCATCCCGGATCACATCCATCCTGGACCTCCAGCTGTGCTGGATCCCTGTATGCCCAGGATCACTCTCCATCCTGGATCACCTCCCCGTTTAACAGGGCCAGGAGCAACTGGACCAGCTGCCAATGATGGACACATGCTTGGCTGTAAACCAAAATCAATCATTAATAATAAATACAAATAAAATAATACATTAGTAACAAGAAATAATGCTAATACATAATAATAGTACATAATAATAAACAACCAAAATAATAATACTCTCCCCTTCCAGCCAGCATTTGCAAGCTGATGTGCGCAGAACCCCAGTAAGGGTGGCTGCCAATGAACAAACACACGCAAAAGAGGTCGAAAACACTGTCGTAACCAAAACACAGTAACTGCCTTGTCCCAGCAGAGGGAGAAGCCCAGTTCTGGGCAAAAAAGCCATTTTGCCTGCAGAGATGTGGGATCACAGCATCCCGGCCCCGCCGCGTGTCCTGGGAAGCGGACATCACACCCAAGCGGTTCGCTGCCTCTCTGAGCCCGGGACATCATCGCTGGGATACTTGGTTTATTGCGAGCTCATCCAGGAAGGGTTCCTGCAGCAGATTTTCTGCAGAGGGCAGCACGACCTAGGAGATGGGATGTGCTTTTCCCTCCCGCCGCCACTGAAAGATGATGGAGATAATCAAATTCTTCAGCAAAATGCTCGATGGAATATTCTCTTGTTGGCTGGCAAAATGGTTTGGAAAAATCATCTTGATGAAAGGGAGATTTGTAGAAAATGACACTTCTGACAGTAAAAATTTGGAGCTTTTTTTTTCCCTTCATTATTTCCATGCTATAAATGTGCTGGGACCTGGTAGGTTTTGGGGAGAAGCTGCAATGCTATGGGGCTTTGCCCAGTCTTTTGCTGGCTCTGACCTCCTGCTGTAGAGGGACGGATCAGTGCTCCAGAACATCCAGAGACCAAAATGCAGGTGTTTTTTTCTGCACAAATATTGAAATAACCCCAATCATCACCAAAGAAGAAGTGTGCACCATCACCAACTGCACCATCACCAAAGAAAGAAAGGTCCCACTGAAAACTAAAGGTTCATTTGACTGGCTCAAGAGCAGTAAGCCCAGGGCCTGTCTACAAGAGGAGGATGCTCCAGTGTGAACATCAGCAGCTTTGCAGGTGATTTGCACTGTGGTGGCTGGAGATCTGTCTCCTTCAACAGTGTGAATTGATTCTCTGTCAGCTGAAGCCATGCAAGGGGGAGCCCAGTGTGAATATGAATAAAGGTGGACATGTTGCGTGTCGATTGAATGAGCTGAGATTTGATTTTTAATTCCTACCTAAGTGATTCAGCTGCAGATGAGAGGGATCGGGGCAGCAGGGATGTCACTGAGGGGCCGGGCATGAGCTGGCCTTTCTCAGTGCAGCTCCGTAACACATCTCAAGAGGTTCTCTGGTCTTACAGTGAGTTAAACATAAAGCTGGTATTTGCTTTTCAAGGAGAGCACTGAGCAGTTTTGGGAGGTATGAGCATGGCCCAGCTTATTCTCCAGCCCCTCCACCTGCCCAGGTGTTATTAAATTAACTTAAGCAATCAGGAAAGCTTGTTCAAGGGTACAAAAATCCTCACCAAAGTATTGTGCTTCAGAAGCCCAAGCTGCAGAAAACCAGGCACCAGCTCACCACACTCCTTGCCTGAGGACTTTGCATCCTGCAGGGTCCCAGGGGTGGAGTGAGTTTGGTCAGGTTTCAGTTCATGGGATGAGAACTCAGTGTGGGACCTCAGTGGGTACCAGTCTCTGTGCTGCTCAGCTGTGGGCTCTACTATGAAACAGAATGGAATGAAGGGGATGACCCAGCAGCTGGCACTGGCTCTAAGCTGGCCATCGCTTTGCAAGTGTCATGGGTGCAGAATGGGCTGCACTGGCCCTAATGCTGCTGCTTTTCCTGTGCAAAATTCACCACCCAGCTCCTGGCCATCCTGCAGCTTCACTGCACTAAAGCACCCTCCAAAATCCCCATCATCCGGCCAAGAGGTTTCCTTGGGCTACAAATAGCCTCCGAGGAGCATCTTTGAGGATGCTCCAGTTTGGAGGAGAAAGCAAAGGAGTCCCACCGTTAGCTTTGCATCCTGAGAGCACCAAGATGCTGAGTACCCAGGGGCTGGGATGAAACAACAGCTGCCAAAGCTGCAGCAAGCTAGACCCAAGCTGTCATCTTCCCAAAGTGGGAGCAATGGTGATGTTTGATGATTCTGTCCCTTCATGCTTTGTAATTAAGCCCTCTGTCTCCAGCAGTCATTTGTCACCCTATTTTAAGCTGGCTGGAGCTGCTGTACCATTCTGACGTTCTTGCTTCAAAATTTAATGACTTCTATAATATTCCAGAAGGCTGAGAAACAGCTCCATGGTGTGCCTGCGTCTGCTCCTTTCCATTTCCTCATGACATCTCCAGGCTCCTGTGTATTTTAAAAGCAGCTTGACCAAGTGATGGACACCTGTAGCTAAAACCTCCTCCTTGGGAATTGCATTTGGAGGTTTTGGCCCATCAGTGCAACTCAGGAAAGCAATGCCACATACATTGAAGTCGAGTTTATACCATTTTAATGCCCAATTATGCTGCCTGAAAGAAACCCGCTGATGTTTAAAGGTTTCTTACAAGTAACCCAGTGGTGTTGCAATGGGTTTTGGTGTGGGTGGCTGCAGGGTTCAGCCAGGGTGACACCACAACACCCTTTCTCTGCTGATTTCCCATCTCCAAGGGATCCCAGGAACCTTCTGGTTCACTCCGGCTCTCAGTATTGCCCTGGTATGGGTGGCTGCTCTCTGCAGCACCGGTATTTCCCTTCACTGCTGCTTTTCGGAACAACATCAGGTGCAAAAACTACTTGAAAGCTGAAGGAATTAAAATCATTTGCCTCCTTTCTTTCCTTTTCCTGGTTGATGTATAGGATGGCACAGCCCTAGCCCACCAGGAAGCAGAGGAAACTCTAATTCCTAGATTTTTAAATAAGCAGGGGAGTGGAAAACATCTTTCATCTTTTGATCATAGAACAAGGACTCTCAATATATCTATAGGGCCACAAAGCACCCAAGGCAGCAGAGCAGCCAGTTCAGAAGCCCAGTGCCCTTGCACTTAAGCACAGGCTTAGCTTGGGGCACAGGAACCCCTCCAGCCCCATAGGAAACCCAGTGTCCTCAGCACCTTGCCTGTGTCAGTCACTGCTTGGCACAGGAATGTGAGATGGGGGAGCCATGGGTGAAACCCTCTCATCCCCCCTCCTTGCCCCACCAAGATGGGTTGTCCTATTTGAGTAAATACCACAAATCACAGAGAATGTCTGGGGGTTTACAGCTTTCCTTTGGACTTTTCTGAATAGATTTCTGGCTACTTACATGAAAAATAATGTAATGGACATGATTATACAATAGATATAATAATCTAGTTACAAAGAATACAGTAATAAATATGTAGATCCCTATATACGCTCTATTATATATACACCAAGCTATGTGGTGTATTATATATGCAACCAAGCTATATAATATGTGTAATATAATAGCTTAGATATAAGGAAGAAGTTCTTCCCTGTGAGGGTGGTGAGGCCCTGGCACAGGTTGCCCAGAGAAGCTGTGGCTGCCCCATCCCTGGCAGTGTTCAAGGCCAGGTTAGACATGGCTTGGAAGTGGTCTAGTGAAGGGTGTCCCTGCCCTGTTCAACCCAAGACGTTGAAGCTCACTATTGTAGCTATTGCCACATTGAGGTGTATTTTGGGGGTATTTAGGTGACAACTGATCACCAGCTGAGATGATGAAGCTCAGTGCTGGAGCTAGTGGCTTTGATGATTCATCTCATCAACTTCCCCATCATCTCCTCTGATGTCTGGTAAGACACCATGGTCACTCTCCAAAGGAGACTCCTTGTTCCTGGAGGCCCATCCTGGACCTTTCTATGCAGGGGTGATGCTGCTGACCATAATGGTAGGCATCCTTCTGAGGTTAGCGCTTTCACACCTTTCCACAAATCCCAGGATTTTGTAGCCCTCTGCAACTTCCTATAGAAGACAGAAGCCTTGCTTTCTTCCAGTGAGGACGAGAGGAGGGAGGCAGCCAGCCAAAGGCGACACAAGCTGAGGAACAGCATCCAGAATAGGAGTGGGAGACCAGCTGGAAATCATTACCCCCAGGATCCAAAAGCAGCCGCAGCACATTGGTGAGCTCCATGTGTTGCACTGCACTTCCCACGCACATTTAAGCAGCTCCTGGGGTTGCAAGGGGCTGTGGGAAGGGGGTTCACTGTCCCCATCCATGGGACCTGGGGCTCTCTGTGAGGGTATCAGAAGTGCTTGGTGCAGATGCACGGGGTGGACATCTGTGCTGCGGAGCCAGAGCATTTCAAAATCAGGTTCATGGAGGATGTGGTTGCACCATGGAGGTGCAACTGAAGATGTGCAAGGTCCCCTTGCTTCTCCTTTGGAGCCGTCATCTACATTTTCCCTTTCAGATGTGACACTTGGACTTTCCTATTTCTCTTCCTCCTGCTGCATCCATGCCAGATACATCTTTAAGCAATAGGGATCCAGTACCCATTGACTCCACCAATCCCAAATTTCAGGCAGAATGGGCAGAGGGGCATTTTTCCAAAGTAAGACCAGGTGTTGCATTGAGCCCATTACGCAGCAGAAGAGGGGACTCAATGCTCATCACAAGTGGAAGGAGAAACTGCCAAAAAAAAAATAAAATAAAATAAAAGAAGAGGCTTTGGCAAAGAACAAGTATTAAAGATGCAGTACAAGAGACTTCTCTAGCTGTGAAAAGTAGACAGTGGGATTGCACATTGCTTGGTGGCAGGACTGATGGGGCCAGAACAGAGAAATCTCCAACATGATCCTGCTGCATGCAGGGAATCAGAGCAAAACCCACCAGCCACATCCTTACCAGTAAGAGAAACTGTCCTCTGGTTCCACTGTAAGAGTAAAGCCTTAGTTTATGAGGGGAAGCCAGATTTGACCTTGAGTTGAAGCAGCTCCTCCAGATCTGTCATCTTGAAGGGTTTAGAGGAAATGTGATTAGTCCCCAGCCTTCAGCCAGGAACAGAAAAATGTTGCTGTCATTTAATATATTTATTGCAATGAGG